GTGTAGGTAGCCTGTAAACTGTAAACTGTAAACGCGTAAACGCGTGAGGGGTGTACCGAGATGGTTGGGGCTGTCTTTACAAAGCGACCACCTTTAGTCTGACACTTTCGGATGGTTGAGAATAAAAGCAACGGCAACAGTCACAATAAAAGCACCCCCCAAAACAATGGCACATGAGCCAACAAGCATCAAGCACCAGAGCTGCAGCATTACAGCATCAACAGTCATCCCATCATATGTTAGAGAAGAGTGTATAGTGTATAGCGTATAGTGTATAGTGTATAGTTGTATAGTGTATTGTGTATTGTGTATTGTTGATGACTCAGTGCCTTGTGTGCCCTGAAACTGACACTGAATCGCTGAAACCTGAACCCTGAACCCTGAACCCTTTGTTTCCGTAGCCATTTCGGCTCAAATTAAAGGGGATTGCAGGATTGGGTTTTCAACGATGCGCTAGGCGCTAGGCTATGCGCTATGGGGCTATGGGCAATGCGCTATGCTCTATCCGGCTATGCGCTATGTATACTTGATGGACATCCTGCGCGAGATCGACGACGACAGATCGTCGCGGCCGTGCTTGGCAAGGCTGACGCTCGACGAACTCCTGTTCAGCGACGACGCCGGGTCGCCTCAGCCGTGGCTTTCGGCCAGTGCCAGTGCCAGTGCGACGGCGACGCCGCCTCGTCGCGGCCGTGGCTTTGAGCCAGGGCCAGGGCCAGTGCGTTCAGCGGATGCGACCAGAGCGACGGGCTCATCAGACTCATTTTGTGCAGCTGGTGCGACCATAGCGATAGACTCATCGAGCTCATCTTGTGAAGAGAGTGCGACCATAGCGACTGGCTCACCAGGCTCATCCAGCGCAGCGAGTGCGCCCATGGCGACGGGCTCGTCAGACTCATCCAGTGCATCGAGTGCGACCGGAGCGACGGGCTTATCACTCTTATCACGCTCATCCTGTGCGACTGGTTCGGCCATAGCAGCCATGGCCAAAGCGACGCCGCGACCGAGGCATGTGGCGGCGGCTGGGGCCGAGGCCGCGGCGGCTCACTCTGCTGTTGCGACTGCGAGGGGGAGGGGCAGGAGCAGGAGTTCGCGGCGGAGCGCGCCGGCGACGCGGCCGCCGTCGCCGTTGGCGCCGTCGCCGCTGGCAGCAGTGGCCGTGCGATCGCCGGCTCTTGCGTGCCCACCCTTGCGGAACGATGCTGGTTGGTCGCCCCACGTCCGCTGGGCGCCGCGGTTGTCGCGGAAGGACAAGGACGCCTTGGAGTGGCAGGTGGCGCGGGACGACGCCGTGGAGGTGATGGCCAGGGCGGCCCAGAAGCACACGGAGATCACTCTGTGGGGCAACGGCATGCCCAACGTGCCGCTGGTGGGTTTGCCGCGCGCCGAGCTCGAGTACCGAGTCAGGGATACGGTGCGCCGTTTCCATCGACTTGGAGGTGAGAGCTACGTCGGCAGCACGAGCTGCCCGATGTGGCGCTGGGAGGGTGGGGCTTGCTGGAGGTCCGAAGTTCGCCGAGCCGCTCCGGCCGCAAGACCAGAGATCATGCCGGGCCATCGCCTCGCTTACAAGCGGCTGGTGATCTTAGGATGTTGGCCGGACGAGGAAACAAAGTCGTTGGAGGTGGACGCCATACGTGCCGCGCGCCTCGCGGCGCGGGATTTCTGCGCCGTGCTGCAGAAAAAAGCGGACGATGCCCGCGGTTTCACCATAATGCGCAAGCATTACGCTTTTATGTATGCGTGCTCGACTGTGTGAGGCATTGGGCATTGGGGATTGGACAAGTGAAGCAATGAAAAAGTAAAAAAGGTGAAACGTGAAACGACTGCTGGAAGAAGGAGGAGGAGGAGGAGGAGGAGGAGGAGGAGGGGAGGAGGAGTAGGAGAAGGGGTAGGAGGAGGAGTAGGAGTAGGAGTAGGAGGAGGAGGAGGAGGAGGATCGAGCAGAAAGGACAGCAGACAACAGTTAGCATTTAGCATGTTAGCATTTAGCATCGGTGGGGCACGTCTTGGGTCGAGGGTTCAGCGGAGGCCAAGGACGTCCAAGGATTAAGAGAAGGATAAGGAGGAGGAGGAGGAGGAGGGGACGGAGGACGAGTGACTCACCTTCTGAGCTCCTGAGCTCCTGAGGTTCACACAGATTGGAGATTGGAAATTAGGTTGCAAGTTGTTCTCCACCACACTGCTTGGCTATGATGGTATGCAGTTTGCAGTACGTCCCGAAACATGCTTGCACGAGCACGTCGTGGCTTGACGTTTGAGGCTCAAGATCTCTTGTGCACGCAGTCGAAACTCGTCGATATTAGATATTATTGTATTACTGTCTATTGTCGTATGTCCATATGTCCACCCTTCTGGGCTTAGCATCAGGGCAATGGCTGGAGAGCCTTCCCTCCGACTCCATGCTCACACAGCCGCACGGGCGCTCAACCCAGCTCGATTGCCCAAAGGACGAGGGTGGGGACGGGAACCATGAAAACGCAACCCAGCAGGCCATTACAAATCTGATCACTAACACGGGCGATTGGGCCCGCGAGAAGCTGTTGGCGTCGGTGAGGAGATGCCGCAGGAAGCTCCGCATCGGGATGGCATGCAGTGGTTCCGACATCGTCGTCGCATGTGCCTTTCAGCTGGTCTCCGTTTTACGGTCGCTGTTCGACCTCCCAGAGGAGTTCGGCTTCGAGCACGTCTGGAGCTGCGAGGTTGACCCGTTCAAGCAAACATTCATAAAGAGGAATTTCAACCCCCCTGGATTGTACAATGATATTGCCCAGCTTGGGTATGCAAGCGCATACAACATGATGACTGATCAGGAGGAGACAATTCAGGAGCTTGACATTTTCATCTGCGGCTTCTCGTGCAAAGATATATCAGTTGCGAAATCGCGTTCTACCGCCAAGACTGCATCCAAAGACATCGCATCGGCTCTGGCTTCAGGTATCGGGTCGAGTGCAGAAACATTGACTGGACTATTCAACTACATCGATGTGCACAAGCCCCGGTGCGTCTTAATGGAGAACGTGACGGGGGTCTTGCGCACTGAAGGTGACGGGGATGAGGAGCGCTTCGTTGATGATGTGACGAATGCCACCTTGAAGAACAAAGACTTCATCAAGAGCATCTTCACTTCCTTTGGATATACCCTTCAGTTCCAGACCTTGAACGCGATGGACGCTGGCATGCCGCAATCTCGACGACGCGTCTACATCATTGCTTTCCGGGAGGATGCAGTGAAGATCGAGCCTGAGGTTTTCATCAAGAGTTTCGACGATTTCTACACGTCCTTTACAAGCCCTCCAACAATCCCTCTCGAGAAGTTCTTATTGTCAGATCAGGATTGCGAGTATTGGTTGAACAAAGGGCCGCCCTTGAAGATCCGCAAAGGAGGGGAGCAGGACACCAAGTGGTTTCTTGACCATTCGACGGAGTTCAAAAAGAAGAACGTTCAGTGGCCTCCTACCCCAGAGGACTGTCGCTCGTCTTGCGGCATGTCTTGGACGGCCGCAAATCCACGGTACAGACCAACTCCCCGCGAGGCTGAGATCATCCACCTTTGGGCAAAAACCAGGCCGTTGCCAGTGGATTCTGACGTAGAGGAGGTTATCGACGTCAACCAGAGTGTTACCCGTGTTCGTTTCTCTCATGGGACTAGTCGTTTGTTTCTCCGGCGCCGAGGCCGCTTCCTCTTTGGAGAAGAGTCGTTGCGTCTGCAGGGCCTCTGGTTAGAGCATGCCCCAGCGCTGCGGGAGTTTGAGGACTCCGAACTTGCGGATTTGGCGGGCAATTCGTTCAATGCAGCGAGCGCGACGCATGCTCTCATGGCCTTGCTTTCGGGGTGGGAGGAGGACTCGGTAGAGCTGGCGTGATTGCACAGTGAGCGAGTGATCAGTGATCAGTGACCTCGTGATCTCAATGGCCAACCAGATCTCAGATATGACATATGATATACAGCATCAGTTGGAGGTTGCAGGTTGCAGGTTGCAGAGTTTACATTAGCTTCGCCCACGGGCCCCCAGAAACCAGAAACAGGTTCCTGGTTCCTCGTTCCTCCGTTCCTCCCCTTTTACCCTTTACCCTTTAACTTGACCCGTCTCCTGCTCCTCTTGCTCTTCTCCCTCAACACCCTCATCCCTCATCCTTCAGCCTCCTCCTCATCGTCCTCTTCTTCCTCCTCATCCGCACTCTCTTCCTCCTGATCCTCCTCCTGCCCAGATTGCTCTTGGCAAGATTCTCTCGGAAGAGTGGTCGTGGATTTTCGCAGTCACCTGGTCATTGGTCACCCTTCCCTCCCCTCGTATCCGTGCACCTTCGCAGCCAGCTAGGCCGCATTCATCCTTGTCAGTCGGATTCGAAGCAGGGGTCGAACTCTGGGCGCGAGGTGCGATAGCGTGGGGACGTCAGCCGGTCAGCCGTGCTTTTGCCAGCAATGGTTTGAAGTTTGAAGTTTTGAACGCTACGCAGAAAATACAATCGCACAATCACATATCGCACGCCATCGAGAACAACAGCAACGCAAATAGGACGTCATACGTCATACGTCATCGAAAGCAGCATCACAGCATCACTCACAACTCAGACAATAGCGAGAATCAACAAACAACATATCAGACGCCAGCGAAAGCAGCAACAACCACACTCACATCTCACATCAACGAAACGCGCAACAGCAACAAGCACTAGGAGACTAGGAGCTAGGAGCTAGGAGTTAACGAAAACAATTAGCAATTAGCAGTTAGCAGCATTAATGAAACACCAGCGCAGACCACTAGCCTAGATCGGCGTGTCGAGCTACAACCTCTGAGCTCTGAGCATCGGATCCCCCCCGGAAGAGAAGGAAGAGGAAACAGAGCCACGAGCCACTTCGGTTCGAGAAACGGCACTGCGGAGACAAACTCTGTGATCTGTTATATGTTTACGTCTTACGCTCTTCCTTCGTTTCTTCAGCTATGAGTAGTTTGATGGATCTGTTGGGCAGCGGGCCTCCAGTCGAGACCTCGCAAATGTCGGTGTCAGAGATGCTCGCGCTTCCAGTGCCCGAGAAGCAGGCTCAGCGCGTGTATCATTTGTCGAAGGGTGGCAAGAAGCGCAAGTTCAAGCTCCGCCTCATGGGGTCTACGACCGAGGCGGTTCGTTGCGAGCTCTGCAAGCACACGAGCAATTCGGAGGACCCTTTGTACCCAGGCTACGAGAGGGAGTGGGCTTACTACAAGGCCAACGGCGAGCCGGAGGGGGTGGTGCGTTTCTATTCTTCGGTGGCCCACCGAACCCGCTTCAAAGCTTGGACGCGGGATGAGTTGAGCAAGGACGTGGACGGTAACGAGGAAAAGCAGGAGGAGTTCCTCAAGATCGAGCAGGCGGTGATTGCGCAGAAGCGAAATGGGAACATTGAGCTCGACATGGCGTCCCTGCCAGCGCCGATCCTAATCGTCAAGCTGACCGTCAAGTCAGAGATTTCTTTCCTCAGCCGAAGACGAGGCTCGTGACTGAGGAGGCCTTCAAGAACCGTGAAAGCAATCCTAAGAAGCTGTCGTTCAAAGATGCGGGCATGCTGAAGCTGGTCGGCAACTACGAGGTCGAGCCAGGAGTCTGGAAGAGAGGCTTCATGGAGCTCATCGGCGAGGAGGGCACCTACGAAATCGAGTCCAAGTTCACCAAGGGGACACAGAAGGAACACCTACTCGACGACGGACGCCCCACGATCGACGAGGGCCAGATCGCCGCCAACTTTCATCAGGCCGCGAAGAAGGGCAGCAACGCTGCGGGATCTTCAACCATGGCGGCGAATAAGGTTAACGACATGATCCAAGCGGCGATGGCACGCATGGCGAAGCCGGAGGACTCGGGAGAAGTCGATGTGAAAATGGAGGGCAACGAAGCCCAGGATGATGACGAGGCCATGGGCGAGGATGAGGACGAAGAGATGGCCCAAGAGGTGGCCGCAGAAGCCGCTCTCGGATTCTTCGGAAGCGAACGCCCCGCCAAGCAGTTCGGCAAGAGCGCCAAGAAGCTGAAGCGCACTGCCGAAGAGGACGTGAAAGAGGCATCCGGCTCGTCCAAGAAGAAGGCGAAGTCTGAGGCCATCTTGGTGGCGACCAGGGAGAAGGGCGAAAAGGAGATGAAGGAGGTGTGCATCAAGTTCTACAAGGGCCAGTGGAACCCAGGCCCCCTTGCCAATAAGAAGAAGGCGATGCAGAAGTCCTTGGCAAAAGTTCAGACTGACGTCGAAGGCCGGGTAGACGAGGCAGCTGTGCGCGCCCTGGGTGCTTGGACGGTGCTCGTGGATGTTATCGATCGCATACTTGGTCTCCTCCACTCAATGGCGGCCGTTAAAGCCGTGCTCGGGAGCACGGGGAAGTTGCGCGGCAGTATGGATAAGCAGGCGATCAGTGATTTCATCTCCGAGATGGTGCAAGCGAGGCAGATTCGGGAGCTTCTGGATCACATGCCCTCGTCCTTCCACGAGCTGGACTTCAAGATGTCGGCCTGGCGTGCCATTGAAGAGAGGTCCTTCGGCGCAGCAGTGAAAATCGTGTCGCTGGCTCACATTCGGAGCGTCACGGGCTCGCAGACGGCCCCCGACATCTTGTCGGGGATGCAGAGGTCCGTGATGGGCAAGCTCGTTCAGGAGTGCGCTGGGGGTAGGGACTCCAAGGAGGCAGAGGAGAGCATTCGCGGCCTTGTGACGACCTTGAACGAGGCCGCCTGCAGCGCTGATCACGAGGATAGCTTCACGCTGCCTGACCTCCTCCGCGATATCCGCATCATCAAGACCTTGCTCGATGCTTCCAACGGCCAGGGCTCCGAACAATTGGATGCGACGATTGCTTCGGCGAAGGCCTCGTCATCCGGAGCGTTGTTCCACTTCCGGGTCTCCCCGCTGGGCACTAAGGTGCTGACAGCATTGGCCAAGGCGTCGCAGCAGAAGCGCAGCACAGAGGTCTTCGAAAGGCGCTGGACGCAGGCTTCGCATGACATGCATCAGCTCGCGTCGCTGAGGTGGGCGCCGATCTCAATCGTCGACTCCGTGGCGGCGGCAGCTGAGCAATTCAGACGGGTTGCGGATAATCGTTCTTTCCTGCAGACCCTTCCAGCCACTTTCTGGACGCAAGAGAAGGGGGGGGGAAATCGCAGGGTACGAGGTTGCCATCACGAATGAGTTGCTGCCAGCCTTTGGCTGTTCTTTCATGACCATGAGCCTCGGGCCCATCAGCGAGCTCATCACCATGTACGAGGATTTACCCGAAGATGAGGCTATCATTCCAGCCAGCTTCTCGGAGCATTTGAACGCGTTGAAGGAGTCGTGCAAGGCGGTCCTCGCAGTTCTGGAGCCGCAGGCGATCGGGAAGCTGAAGGAGCCCATCACAGGCATGAGCAAGGCACTGAACTGCATGATCGGCATCTTGGATTTCGCGGGTTTCAAGGTCACCCTGCATTCTAGGTCTCGCCCCCCTCTGAAGGAGGAGGAGGACGAGGAGGAGGAGGAGGAGGAAGAGGAGGCGGGGAGATGGGGAGAGGGAAGTAATGAGTAGTGAAGAGTGAATACTGAGCTATGAATAATGAGGTAATGAGTAATGAGGTAATGAGTAATGAGTAATGAGTAATGAGGTAATGAGTAATGAGGTAATGAGTAATGAGGTAATGAGTAATGAGGTAATGTGTAATGTGTGTCCTGGTCCTCTACCCCTCTACCCTCTACCCTCTACCCTCTACCCCTCTACCCTCTACCCTCTACCCCTCTACCCTCTACCCTCTACCCTCCGCCCTCTCCCCCCACCTCTTCCTGGGGTGGCGGGGAGATTATCCTAGTCCCCTGTGCCCCCATCGCCCATCCTCTTATTATCCCTCCTTCTCCTCCTCCTCCTCCTCCTCCTCCTCCTCCTCGTCCTCCTCTTCCTCCTTCCTCGCGCCCTGCGGCAGGTCAACACCAAGGCTGCTCTCAACAATATCGAGATCAGCGAGTGCATCGCCTTCGCGAAGGAGCGCGCGTCATTGTGCAACGAGGCCGGGGACAACTTGGACCTGGGTGGCGGGATTCGGGATCGCCTCCATCTGCCGAGGGCCGCCTCTGGCCCAGAAGCCGCCGTCCTGGGTCAATGGACGCGCGTACTCGACGATGTCCAGGGGGAGCTTTCGAGTAGAGCCAACAACGTACTCCAGGAGGCGTCGACCAACTTTGCGCACAGCCTTCTTCATTTCGCCCCCGAGTTCAAGACTTTGTGCACAAAGGTGAAGGGCGAGGCGGCGACGTTCAAGGTCGAGGAGATATTCTGTCCTATCGATTTCGAGTTCGGCAACTTGCAAGGCATCTTCAACCTGGACGGCGTCGTGGCACTCGTCCAGAAGCTGTCGCAGCATACGCGCGCCGAGAATCGCGAGACCGAGCTGCGCAGCGCGCTACGAGTCTGGACGGATGGGCACCAGCTTCGAGAAGTCCAACTTGCTGCTCGTTACAGTGATGCGCACGTCACGTTCTTCCGTGCCTTGGATACGTTCCGTTCGACAGTGGTGCAATCTTGCCCCGCGGCCATGTGCCATAAAGCAGCATTCAGCACGCCGAAGAAGCCACCGCAGAAGGCTACGGGCTCGAGCGGCTCCAGCCAGAGCGCAGAGGGGGAGAAGAGCATCGTGAACGCGTCGTTGGTCAACCTCATCGTGGAGATCCACAAGGAGGCACAGAAATTGTCCGACCTGGGCGCGGTCGAGTTGAAGGCGTTCTTCGAGGGCGACGACCACAAGGCTCCTTTGCTGAACGGCGAGGCCAAGACTAAAGCGACGGCGTCGATCCTTGGTCTTACCAGCTCCCTGGCTTGGAGGTGGACGGCTGCGCTGGACGCCGGGAATGTTTCGATGAAGGATCTGATGCCGAAGGGCGATTGGCAGGGCAAGGCCGTCGATGGCATTGACGAGACGTACTGCAAGGACTCGCTCCTGAAGAACCCGAACCACATCCGCATGGCGCAGTTGTGCGAGTGGTTGGAGGGCAATCTCAGAGACATCAAGGATGCCTTCACTAAGATGCCCGAGTTGTCTGAGGAATCAGCCACCGAGTCCAAGAAGGCGATGGATGCGGCGGAGAAAACACATCAGCAGCGTGAAGTTCGTAGTTGCGTCAGCGGTGGTCCTCCAGGTTCTGTTTGTCGGGAATGGCGCCACCGCCACCAAGAAGGACGACCGCCAGAAAATTAAGACGGAGCTGGAGAGCACACTTCAGAAGTCGAAGATCGAGATGTCCACTGGCCTGAATAACTACCTGGTGGAGTGGGCGACCAGCGACGCAGCCCCAATCTTGGACCATTGAGCCTCCGGGGCAAATTAGTAGCCCTCGCCAGATTCATGCCTCATGCCTCATGCCCATCTGGAGGGGGCTGGATTGAGATTCAAACTGGCCATGGAGGAGGATGATGATGAGGGGAAGTTGAACGATAGTAGATAGTATGGATGGCAAAAGGGAAGAGGAAGGAGATGAGGGGGAGGAGGAGTTAACAGTTAACCGAAATCAAACGTACCAAGTACCTACGTACCCTCGGCGGACGAAACTGGGAGGGATGAGGACGAGGATGGGGAGGAGGAGTAAGGATAGGAGATAGGAGGTGGGAGGTGGGCTGGGCTGGCATCTAGTTCTGAGATTCCCACCCCGAGGCTCGAGGCTCGGAGCTTTGTAAGTTTCAAGTTTCACTTTAGGTGGTAGATCGCCAGGTCTAGGGGGAGTTGGGCCACGGTCCGGGGAGCCACGCGTGCGCCTCGAGGGCACGGTGGCACAGGCCACCGTGAGGAGTCAAAGCGTGCTTGGATCAATGCGGCGGTCGTCGAGATGAACACGACTTGAATTTTGAAACAATTATCGAATGATTGTCGTCCTCTCACCCTGCGGCCGCCTCAAGGCTGCCCCCATATAATCAATATCGCGCCTAATCAATATCGCGCCTCAATCATCAATATCGCGACGATCGGCAATCTTCGAAACATATTTGGGCAAACTCGGGTTCTCTTGGGGGCATCTTGGACGTCTTGGAAGCGTCTTAGGGTTGTGCTGGAGGCCGTTTGAGGCCGTCTTAGCCATCTTGGAGGGCATCTTGGACTGTCTTGGTGCCATCCTGGAGCCATCTTGATGCCGTCTTGGAGCCATCTTGGAACAACTACTACTGACCTTGATTGACCTTGCAAGTGACCTTGAACCTTGAAAACCCCGACCTTAAACCTTGAAAATCGAGGCCCAAAACCTTGACCTTAAACGGACGACCTTGACCCTCGGGGGGTGTCCTCCTTGTTGCGCCGCGTGCGCCGCCTCAATCCATATATGTGTGTGTGTACATACGCACGCACGCGCACGCATTAGGTATATGCGCATGAACAGTACGCGCGCAGATGTGCAGGCTATTTCGGTCGACGGGTAGGTCGTCTTCGTCTGGTGGGACACTGTGCGTACGCACGCGCGACTGCGCGCGCGCGGTGGCGTCCAATTTTCGCGCGCGGTGTGAGGCTGAATAATGGCCTTATGTTGGTGTCCAGAGCCCCATGCTTACAATTGGTGTTTCTCACGCGGTTTCGGGTGTGACACGTTTCGCCCGTTGTTTCTGTGAGGTTGGATGGTTTCATGCGGGCTCCCAAAATCTCAGAATGACCATTGGTTTTTCTCACCCTGTTTCGGTGGTTGCAGGTGTCGCCCGTTTTTTTGTATTGTGGGGCCGATTTGCCTCATGTTGGCTTGCCTACATCCACATATGGAACTGTTTTTTCGCAGACGGTTCCGGGGGGCGCGTGACGCCCGGTGCTCATGTGCGGCGGAGTAGCCCCAAGCTGGCTCCTGGAATCCCAAGTTCGCATTGTGTTTTTCCCAGGCGCGGTTGCGGGGGTGACACGTGTGGCCAGTTGTTTTTGCAAGGCTGAATGTCCTTATGTTGGCTCAGAGGATGCCGAATTCACCACCGATCTCTTTTCACGCGGTTTCGGAGGTGGCGCGTGTCACCCGTTTTGGTGGTTTTGTTTTTTGTTTGAATGTGGGGAGGCTGAATGGCCTTGTTCTGGCTCCCAGAATCCCAAATTTACAACCAGTCTTTTCGCGCACGGTTTCGGGGGTGACATGTGTCACCCGTTGATGTTGCGAGGCTGGATGACCCTATGTTTGCTCCCAATCCCGAACGTGTTCTTTCTCAGTTTGTTTTGGTGGAGACACTTGTCACCCGTTGTTTTTGTGATGCAGAATGGCTTTATGCTGGCTCACAGGATCCCAGAGTTTCAATTTTGGTCTTCCCACACGGATTCGGGGATTACACGTGTCACCCGTTGTTTTCAGTGGGTCTGAATGGCCTTCTTCTCGCCCCAAATCCCAGATTGACATTTGGTTTTTCTCATTCGGTTTCGTGGGTGATACGTGTCACCCGTTGTAATTGTTGTTGTTGTTGTTGTTGTGAAAGTGAACGGTCAACTGTACCATTGGTAAATTCTCAGACGGTTTCGGGGGTGAGACGTGTCACCAGTTGTTCGGCTGAGTAGCCTGATGTTGGCTCCCAGAACCCCAAATTTACAATTGAATTTTTTCTCACGTTGCTTCAGGGGTGGCACGCGTCGTTCGTTTTATCTTTCGCGGCTGAATGGTCTTTTGCCGGCTCCCAGAATCCCGGATTTACCAATGGAAATTTCTCATTTTGTTTCGGGGGTGACACGAATCACTAGTTGTTCTGTATGCAGCTGAAATGCCTGATGGTGGCTGCCATAATCCAACATTTAATATATTTGTTTCGCACGGTTTCGGGGGTGACACTTGTCACCCGTTGTTTTCGTGAGGTTGAATGGTCTTATTTTGGCTCCCAGAATCCGAAATTTACAAGTGGTTTCTTCGCGCACGATGTCGGGGGGGGCACGTGTCAACGGTTGTTCTTTGTGAGGTTGAAGGGACTTGTGCTAGTTGGCACCCAGAATCCTAAGGTCGCAGGGCGTGGCCAGCGTGGCCTGCCGCTAAGCGGGGGTGAAGGATTCTGCCCCTGCACGCGGAACGCCAGGGCGGTCGCGGGGACCTCTCCGGCGGTCCTGTTTGCCATGTTTTTTATTTTACATGCGATGTACAGCGCTAGGAACTATTTTCTTGTTTTAAATTATCCCCCTAGATTGATTTGAAACACCATGTTTAGACCCTCGAAGAAGAATAAGCATAATAACGCAGCATAACAAGCAACAAGAAGCAGAAAAAAACAAGCAGTTCCGCGCGGGTTTTTCGGATCGGCGCTGGTCCGGCGCCGATCCAAGAAATCCGCGCGGAGGTTCGGCAATTTATGGTCGTTCCGTTTTTCTGCCGGTGCAAAGGCTGGGTTTCGGTGCAGACTCTGGTTCGAGCCGCGGTCGTGCTTGGGCCGCCCGGCAGGTACCGACAGCAAGTTCCCGTGCGGGTCAAGTGGGTCACCAACAGGGAGATCTTCCTCAGCATGATGCGTCGGGCTGGCGCCGCGTCCCGCCGACGAGGAGGCGACGAGCAGGAGAAGAGGAAAAATCGAGGAGGAGTCGAGGATGAGACGAGGAGGAGACGAGGAGGAGCCGAGGAGGAGCCGAGGAGAAGGAGGAGGAGGAGGAGCAGGAGGAGGAGGAGGAGGAGGATGGAGCAAAAGGAGAGGAGGAGATGAGGAGACGAGGAGTCGAGGGGACGAGGAGACGAAATAAACGAGGAGGAAACGAGGAGGGGGCGAGGTGGGGACGAGGAGGAGGTAGAGAAGGAGGGCGAGGAGGATTTGTGTTTGCAGTTGGGAGGACCTCATCTTTTCGCGCCCGCTCGATGTTGCCCGTGGCTGGCGGCGCGGCCGCCGCGGGCGCTGACCAAAGAGGGTGGAGCAGAGGTCGGGGGGGGAGTGAGCTGTCATCGAGAACAGAAGAAAGAACCCTTGACATTAATAACAGGATGAAAACGTGGCATCATTGAGGTCCCCGTCCATGCATTAGGGAGAATCGATATGGGAGGTTTGGATTGATACATCTACAGAAAAGACCAACTATCCATCATGTGTTTGCCCTCCCAACTTGGGTTCCATCCCAAAATGGTTAGGGGCTCTTGTGTGGTTAACCGAGCTGGTGGCGAGGACGGGGATCGTCGGCGCGCGGAGTGGTGGGTTTGGGAAGACACATGATTGCAGAAGTGTAAAGTCTAGGACGGCCGCGCGGATTTATTGGATCGGCGTTGGGGCTCCCTGGCGGCGCCTCCAAGAAACCCGCGCAGATCTTAGAAAGGTAATGCTCTTTGTTGTTACTTGTATTCTAGGGACTAGAATCGTCGGCGCGCTGAAGGGTGGGTGGTGTGGATGGAGGGGGGAGTGACTTTCTGATACGGTGTTGGGGGGGGGGGCTTTTCTATGAGGCGCAGCTGGCCGTTTTGGAGGCGCCCGTGGGGTTTCGAGGGGGCTTTCTAGCAGCCAGGGGGGCTTCAAAATACAGTCGGACCGAGATATAAGTTCGAGGTCGGTTCGGGGAATTATAGTCGCCCCCACGTCTGGGGTTCGGTTTGTCCCGTTGGTCCGGTCCGAGTGGTCCGTTAGGTCCGGTTGGTCCGGTTGGTCCGGTTGGTCCAGTTGGTTTGGTTGGTTCGTTTTGTACAGTTGGTCTGATAGGTCCGGTTGGTCCGGCTGGTCCAGCTGGTCCGTCCAGATGGTCCGGTAGGTCCGGTAGGTCCGTTTGGTCCAGTTGGTCCGTCTGGTCTGGTCGTTCTGGGTGGTCCAGTCTGTCCGGTTTGGTCTGTTTGGTTGGTCCAGTAAGTAGTGGTCTGGTTGGTCTGTTTGGTCCGCAAGGGCGGTCCAGGCGCGATTGGTTTGGGGGAGTCTGGGTGGGGATTCCATGGAGTAAGACCGCCATGCTCGGACGAAGTCGGGTCGGGTCGGGCGAGCGGGGCAGGAAAGTTAGAGAACAACAAGTGACATAAACATAAAAACTCGGAGGTCCGCGCGGATTTCTCGGATCGGCGCTGGACCCCCCTCCCTGGCGCGCGGAGCGCGCCAGGGGCGGCGCCGGAGGCGTCGCTGGGGGGGCCCCAGCGCCGATCCGAGAAACCCGCGCGGACCTCCGAGTTTTTATGTTTATGTAACTTTTTGCTCCCCTAGAAGTCCGGGACAGCATGGAAGGAGACCGCAGAGCACCAGTGGCAGGGGCTGGCAGGGTTTCTGTCGGACGGAGCGCCGGAGTGTGCAGGGCGCGTCTCGGGTCGGGCGCGGGCGGGCGAGGCACCGAGGCGCAGAACGGCCAGGCAGGCGCGCAGGGCGTCGCGTCTGGTCGGGCAGGTGGGGCATTCAGGAAGTCGGGCCTGTACCTCTACATGAGGAATCTGCAAAAATAGTATAGAAATATCCCAGTGCGACCCTACCTGGGAGTTGGAGCATTTAGGAAAGCAACATCTACATCTACACCGACAGCTACATCTATAGCTACACCTAAGGTAAGCTGTAGCTAAGGTAAACTAAGCTATGCTAAGCTAGGCTAGGCTAGGCTAAGCTAAGCTAAGCTAAGCCAAGCTAAGCTAGGCTAAGCTGAGATAAGCTAAGCTAAGCTTAGCTTAGCTTAGCTTAGCTAAGCTAGGCTAAACTAAGCTAAGCAAAACAAAACTAAGCTAAGCTAAGCTAAGCCAAGCTTAGGGAAGCTAAGCTGGGTGAACCCAGGGGGCGCAACTGGGGGAACCGCGGGGCGGATACTGGGGGAACCGCCCGGGGCGGTGTGCACTGCCAGGCCCCTTTAAGAAAGAGAGTAAGAACCCTTCTAGGCAGAGCCTAGGTAGGGAATAATCTGGGGACGATGTTTTTTTACTATTTTGGGGCTACTTCGGAGCATGTTTTGAGTATTTCTTATTTTCGCCCAAACTCCGCCTGTAGGGGGACATGCCCGACCTAAGACATTCAAGTGTGGGGCCGCGCATCGAAAAGATCCACATGGCGGCAGTGAAATGGGCTGGTATGGCGCAGGCTGTTCGGGATCCCGCAAAGGGGTGTGTGTATGTGTGTGTGTGTGTGTGTGTGCCCCAGGGTGTGTGTGAAATCCATTGGCTTTTGCACCGAACCGCCCAAAACAGATGCCCCCCAGCTGCCGGCAACTCCCGATGGTTGCCGATAGGTGGGAATGCAGGGGGCATCTGCTTGCGGCAATTAGGTGCACCAACGGATCGAACTCATGCCCCGCCTCAGGGTCCCCCCCCCTGTGGGTGGATCCCGAGCTTTGGAGAAGGAGACCTTGGATAAGGATACCAGGGTCTGCAAGCCAGAATTGTAGATCGGCCATGTGTATCCTTGCTGTCATCATTGGATACGGAATCCTGCAGGGTCTGAAGCCTCCTGGGCACATTCTTGAACCAACGCCCCCACCGTAGGCACCAAAGTGCAGGACGGCCAGTGAAGCGCGCGGAGGTCGAGTCGGGTCCGGCGGGCGGGACATGAAAGTGTTGGGCCGCATCGAAGAAGACCACATGGCGGCGAGTGGAATCATCGCCGCACGACGGGTATCACTCCCAGGCCGTAAGGTCTCCCCCTTGAGCCAGAGTGGCCTGTCTTATCCCAAGAGAGCTCCAAGAGACGATTTTGAGGGTTCCGACGGGGGGATCGAAATTGACGCCGCCTTATTGGTTGGTCGATGGCCTCCAAGATGGCCCAAGAGAGGCCCAAGAGGGGCCCCAGGAGGCTCCAAGACAGCTATGCGCCCCGAAAGGCCTCCAAGAGGCCGAAACCCTTCTGAAACCTTCACTCGCCGGCCTCACTCGCTAAAATATCCAGCAACTGGTAAACGATATGTCGAGTCTGCGCGCGCGGGCCGGCCCCTGGAAGGTTTCGGACGATCAAGGTCCCAGCAAGGTCCCCACAAGGATGCCGGAGCTCCCCAGGGCGGTTTTCCGGACATCGCCCCAAGACGGCCTCAAGAGGCCCCTAAGATGGTCCAAGAGGGCTCCGAGTCGCCGACCGATTGGTCCAGGACGCTCGGGATAGCCTCCACAGACGGCCGCGGACGCCTCCAGGACGTCCAAAGAGGTCTCCAAGAAGAGTTCTCGAGAGGGCCCCAGGAGGCAAAACTCATTGATTGCCGTTTGCTTTTTGAAGGATTTTGGCGTTATCCGTCTCATCACGGTCGTTCGCGCCGTGGGTTTCAGACCCTTTTTGGACCTCCTCGAACCGCTCTCGCCACGCACACGGAATCAAACGCCGAAGCTAGAACGGCGAGGTTGCTACGCAATACAAGCTGCAATAATTCTCAAAAAATGCCATGCAACAAACAAATAGCATTGCAAAACGAGCTAGGGCAACACAACAACAATGCAAACCTTGCACGCGGCATCCAAAGCTGGAGCTAGAGCGGCAAAGCTGCAATGCACAACAAACATGCAAAACGAGAACAGTTGTAAGTTTGATCATGGTGCTTGGCGCCATCTGCTTCAAAGCCTCCCTGGACTTCCCTCCAAACCGCTCTCGCCTCGCACGTGGAATCTAAAGCTGAAGCTAGAACGGCAAAGTTCCAATGCCACAAATATGTGTTCTCGCCATGCACGCGGAATCCAAAGTTGAAGCTAGAACGGCAAAGCTGCAACGCACCAACAAATTGCAATGCAAAGACCAGCAATGCAAACATACTGTAATTATGATCATGGTGGTTGGCGCCCTGGGCTTCAAACCCTCCCTAGACCTTCCCAAGTCGTTCTTAGCTCGGACGCGGAATCCAAAGCTGAGGCTAGAACGGCAAAGCTGCAATACAAAAAACATACAATGCAAAACAAATTGCAATGCCAGAACAATTGTACTTCTGATCATGTTGGTTGGCACCCTGTGCGTCAGACCTGGACCTCCCAAAACCGCTCTCGCCTCGTACGCGGAATCCAAAGCTGAAGCTAGAACGGCAATTTTGCAATGCAAAACAAACATGGAATGCAAAACGTTGCAATGCGAAAACAACTTTAATTCTGATCATGGTCGTTCGCGCCGTTGGCTTCGGATCCTCCCTGGACCTCCCCAAACCGCTCTCACCTCGCACGCGGCATCCAAAGCTGGAGCTAGAACTGCAAAGTTGCAATGAAAAACACATTGCAATACAAAGACCATGCAATACAAAAACACTTGCGCCGTCTGCTTCAAAGCCTCCTTGGACCTCCCCAAACCGCTATCGCCTCGCACGCGGAATCCAAAGCTGAAGCTAGAACGGCAATGTGGCAATGCCACAAACAATTGCCAACGGCCTGAAAAGGACCCCCCGTCCTGAATTTCAGTTCGCCCCTCAAGCTCCCTGAGGCCGCCGTCCTGTATTTCTGTTCGCCCCTAAGGCTCCCTGAGGCCGCCGTCCTGCATTTCAGTTCGCCCCCGAGGCCCGCTGTGTCCGCCGTCCTGTATTTCAGTTCGCCCCCGAGGCCCGCTGTGTCCGCCGTCCCGTATTTCAGTCCGCTCCTGAGCAATAGTAGCCAGACCAAACAGACCAGACCAGACCAACCAGACCAGACCAATGAACGAGACCAGACCAACCACACCATACCTAAGCTAAGGCTGCAAGACGAAAGCTCAAACAAGACCAACCAGACCAGCCAGACCAGAAGACCAGATGCAAGCAATAACTGCAATGCACAACAAAACAGCAAAGCACATAAATATGCAATGCAAGAGATGCATTTCGATCGGCGTGGTGTTTGGCGCTGCCTCGCCGGACCTCCCTTGAACCACTCTCGCCCGGATCCTGCGCCAAGGCTGCAAGAAGAAGCTCACACCAGACTGACCAGACCAGCCAGACCAAACATTGCAATGAAAAAACATCAACGCCAAAAAACATGCAGTGCAACAAAAATTGCAGTTCGGTCGTCGTCGTGGTGTTTGGCACTGCATCGCAGGACCTCCCCTGAACCACTCTCGCTCGGATCCTAAGCTATGGCTGCAAGACGAAGCTCACACCAGACGAACTAGACCAGCCAGACCAGATGCAACAAAAACTGCAATGCAAAAAAGAAACTGCAAAGCAACAAAATCATGCAACGCAGAAAACACTGCATTTCGGTCGTCGTCGTAGTTGTGGTTGGCGCTGCCTCGCCTGACCTCCCTTAAACCACTCTCGCTCGGATCCTAAGCTCAGGCTGCAAGAAGAAGCGCAAACCAGACCAACCAGACCAGCCAGACAATATACAACAACAAAGTGCAATGCACAACAAACTGCAAAGTAAAACAACATGCAATGTAAAACAACTGTTTTTCGGTCGCCGTGGTGGTTGGCGCTGCCTCGCTGGACCTCCCCTAAACCACTCTCGCCCGGATCCTGAGCTGAGGCTGCATGAAGAAGCTCAAACCAGACCAACCAGACCAGCCAGACCAGAGCCAGGCTTGCTCTTTGTAAGCTTGGCGTCCCGCAGTGCGCTACACGGCTAAGACATTGATTTGTCGTGGCGGTTATTTTCTTGCCGCACCGCTCGGGAAACGGTATACTAGAAGTTGGTTATGCTGAGTGCTCGGGTCGGACGCGTGCCTCCGAGGAGGGCACATAGTATTCGTATGTCCTTGTGCGTCCCTTGCCACCAGTAAAGAGACTGTCGTGCCTCAGTGCTCGGGGTTCCGGACAGGGGGGTCAATGCAGATGGTGGTCAGCCAGAGCGGCGGAGATGGCAGGATCCTGCATGGCCAGGGGCGCACTGACCCGTGTTCTTGGCATCGTTCGGACGTGTGCATTTTTCTTTCGGCGAGAACCATCGAGGAGCATCCTTGATCATTTGGCGGAAAAACCACGCACGAATCCGACAAACGCACGGGTAATGGACGTCCGAGCGACGGCAAGGGTTTGGGTGCAGGATTCTGCAGGATCCTGCAGGATCTTGCAGGCTGACCCGATTTGGATTGGCCAGGGTCAGTAGCTCCCCGAAGTGTTATCCGCGAGGGGTGCGAGGCGGGTCCGATGCCCCCGCCCACCGGGGTGCGCTCACTTTTTTTGTCTCTCGTCCAGAGGTCAGAGGAGGAAAAGGTACGTGTCCATACTGCTACGGCTCCCTCGTCCTTCCTTGTTTTGGCATCCTGGGAGGCCTTCTTCACCACCGCTGCATTCGCCTCAAGATCATGGTTAGAACGCGCCCTGGGAAAAAACCAGGGAAAGGCTGTATCGCTACCTCTTGGTTTCCCGAATGCCCCCCCCGCCCCCCAGGGTGCAGTCCCGTTTTTGTTCCTCCGACCTTGAGTCACGTTTTTTTCTTGGGAAAGTTCTGCGTATCCGCTGCTCCCTGGCCCAGCCCTTCCTGGGCCCAGCAGCTGTGTAGACGCTCTCCTGGCCAAGCCGGGAGGACGTGGCGTATACATCGCCGCTGGTTTTAGGATGATTTTAGCCAGGGAGTTAGTGTAGAATTCGTCGTCGTATCTTGGAGCGGCGGGAGACAACAGCCTCCCAGCTTGTGGGGCGTCATGATATTTTCCTCGGGCCAGCGTGCAGGTTCCCCCCCCCGCTTGAGGAGGAGGAGGAGGAGAAGGACTAGTGTAAACCGAATACTCATCAACGATTTTGGAAGAAACCCTCCCTCTAAGCTCCCTCTTCATGGGCCCTACAAGGGTCCGTCCCCACTTAGGCAAGTGCCCCGTCTGGAGACAGCCGTTTGAAGATGCTGGATCGTGCCAAAACACCATCCTCGGGACTCCAACGCCACGAGCCAACTTGGTTGTTGTGTCGTGACGATCCTGAATCGTGCCAGGACACCCTTCCTGGGACTTCAACACCGCGAATCAACGTAGCAGTTGCGCTCTGACAATCCTCAATCGCTCCCCAACACCATTTCTGATACGCTGACCCTGCGAATCCGTGGAACTCTTGCGCATGTGTAAGACGAGTGTGCGCGGGTCCCAGGCGAGAGCCACGGTTTGAAATGTATCCGCCCTCATTCCGTGAAACTCTTGAGATTGTTTGAGATGGATGTGCGCGGCGCCAAGGCGAAAGCCACATGCAGATATCAGTGGCAATCATGCAAATTTGGAAAAATGTTGGCGGCGCCAAGGCGAGAGCCATGGTTTGAAAAGGACCCGCCCTCATTCTGTGAAGCTCCTGCACTTGTTTAAGACGAACGTGCGCGGTTTTCAGGCGATAATCACATTTTGAAAACGGCCCGCCCTCGATCCGTGAAGCTCCTGCAACTGTTCAAGACCGACGTGCGCGGCGCGAAAGCGAGAGCGACATTTTGAAAGGGACCCGTCCTCAATCCGTGAAGCTCCCGCAATTGTTTAAGACGAACGTGCGCGGCGCTCAGGCGAGAGTGACATTTTGAAAACGGCCCGCCCTTAATATGTGAAAGTGTTGTCAACTTTGAAGACGACTGCGCGCGGTGCAAAGGCGATAGTCACATGTTGAAAACCGCCCGCCCTCCATCTGTGAAACAGTTGTCAACTTCTCAGCTCCAGGGTCCTAAATCGTACAGAAGTCTCCGGCGAAACGCCCGTCCCGCCTTTTTTAGACTGGCCTCGGTGTTCGACGGGGAGGAGTTACCCAGAAGAAAAAAAGATGACGGAGGAGGAGAAAAGGAGGAAGCGAAGAAGAAGGAGGAGGAGGAGGAGGAGGGCTTCTCCCCCCTCCCCCACCGCCCCTAGCCCCCTCGTCCGTCGTCCATCGCCCGTCCGTCGGTCGCGTCGTCTCTGGTTTCTCTAGCCTCCGCTCGCGCGGGCTCGTGGGTGGACAACAGATCCAGAAGACGCACGAAACTCGACAAGCAAAGATTTTCGGCGCTCCGCGTGGATCTCTTGGATTGGCGGTGAGACCCCCTTGCCTGGCGGGAGCGCGCCAGGGGCGGCGCGCCGTCGTTTGTTCCTCGAGTCTCCGTGTCCTTGGCCTCGCGGGTCAAGCCCTCGGGGGCCGCGCCCCCGCGGACGCGGGGGGTCTTGTTGCCGCGGAGGTGCCGCGCGCGGAAAATCGTATCCGTGCGATCCCGCGTGCCCGCGGGAGCGCGCCCTGGAGGATCCAGACCGCGAGGGCACAGATACGGATACCCATCGCTCGTTGAATGTAGTTACTTTTTGACCCCCAGTTCCCACTCTTCTTTGGCCGCCTTCCTACTCGAAGAGCCGAGTGGCTCTCCCTCTTCCCTCCTCTTCAAGGACCGAGCGGAAAGCCCAATCGTGTCCCAAAACGCCTTCCCACTTCAGGGTTCTACCTGCTTCTTGCGACCGATGGGTATGCTCGCCGCTGGGACGGGGGCGGCGGGGAAGCGGCGGCGGGGGCGTGGCGGCGGGCGGATGGGCCGGGCGCCGCGCCGAGCGTGGGCCCCGGAGGCGCAAGGGCGGGGGGGGGAAGGGCGGCGGTATAGCCAGGCGTCCTCCTCCTCCTCCTCCTCCTCCTCCTCCTCCTCCTCCTCCTCCTCCTCCTCCTCCTCCTCCTCCTCCTCCCCCCCTCCTCCTCCTCCTCCTCCTCCCCCTCCTCCTCCCCCCCCTCTCTTTCCTCGCGCGCCCTCCCACCACACGCGGCGAAGCCGGCAAGCAAGTCACAAGGAAGCCCTGCGCTCCCCCCGGAGCTCGGGAGCCCGCGGCTTCCGGAGTGAGGGCGCTGGGAGCGGCGGCGCGCGGCGCTGTGATGGCTCGGGGGCGGGGGGTTGGGGCCTGGAGCTGGGGCGACGAGACGTATGCATGTACACTGGTCCCTGGCCACGCCACTTCTGAACCCGGCAGCGGTGTATACGCCACGCCCTCCCGGTCTGGCCAGGTGGGCGCATACACAGCTACATAGCTTCGGTTTTTACGCCACGCCCTCCTGGTTTGGCCAGGAGGGCGTATACACAGCTGTTGAGTTCAGGATGGGCCTGGTCAGGGAGCAGCAGATATGTATAGATCTCATCGCCCTAGGAGCGGAGGACGCCATGTTCACGCACTAACCCCCAAAGCCCTGCGTTGCGTAAGTCGAGGAGCGAATCGGCGGCGAAACCGGGAGGGAAGCAAGAGGTGCCGGGCCTTCTGACAGGTGTTCTAAGCCTTTCCAGAAGACAATGAAGACTTCTCGGAGGGCCGGCGGGCTGCTGAGACGCCCTGCCGCCTTCTGAGAAGGTCGTCTCCTTCTCACTCTCCCCCCCCTCGTTCGCCGCCGAGCAAAGAACGGCATAAGCATGATCCCTCGGAGGTCCGCACGACATGTCTGGATCGGCGTTGGGCCCCCCTGGCAGCGCCGCCCTTGGCGCGCTCCGCGCGCCAGGCAGGGGCGCCCATCGCCGATCCAAGAATTCCGCGCGGACCCTCGAGAGTTGATGTGGATGTAGTCGTTTGTCAGGAGGGAAAAAACACACAGACACAATTAATCCTCGATTCCCAGGAAAATATGGGAAAATATGGGAATTGGGGGGGAAGACACAACCCCAGAAAATATGGGATAATATGGGGACTATTTTTATTTGTGTGTATTTGTTTGTGTGTCCTAATTTCCCTTTAGTTTGTCCCTCTAGGCTTCGGCCTCTCGCGGCACTCCCCCGGGGCCCCGGGGCTGTCAGGTAGCGACTCGGGGGCGGGAGACCAATCCTCGGCGAGGGGTCGGAGCCTCCAGGGGGCCCCCGTTGCAAGAGTCGTGGTGTCGGATGTCTGGGATGGTGCCCGATCCCGGGCCGCTGTGCATGCGCCTTCCCTAGAAGAATAATAATAATAATAATAATAACAAACAGTATTGATAATAAGAAGACAACCAAGCAATACAGAAGAGGAACATACATAACAATACATACATAAGAAGAAAACAAGCATACATATCAAAGGAGAAGAAGAAACGGCACGCAAATAAACTTTTTGGCGCTCCGCGCGGATGTCGTGGATTTGGCGCCTCCGGCGCCGCCACGGATCCAGCGCAGAGCCATGAAATCCGCACGGAACGCCAAACATTGTCATGCTTACGCCGTGGTTTCTTCTTCTGTTCCTGGCGTGGCCAGGGAGGCTCACGTAGCGATCCCGGGCCCAGGATCTGCCCCGCCAGGACGCATGGGGCGGATGGTTGGCGTCCAGACCTTCCAGGTGGGGTCGAAGTCGGTGGGGCCGGAGGATCGCGCCGCATCGCCGATGCCTCGTCGATGCGGCTCGATTGGTGTCGCCGAAACACCGCCGACGTTGCCGACGCATCGCCCAAGCATCGCCGATGTATGGGCCGACCCCACTGTACTCTGACCCCGTCTAGGAGGCCACTATGGCGCCCAACGACAGAGTCGATTTCCCTCAGGATGTGTGCTAATCAGTGCGTATTTGCCTCGTTCAGCTCCACCGATTGCGTGCAGCCCCTGCTGGCCCTCACAATTTTGCCTGCGTCTCGCTAAAGTCGGGGGCAACGATAGGGGGGATAGGCATGGGGGGGATGCATCGACCCCCAATCGCCCATTGATCGTCTATTGATCGCCACTCACTTCCTGCGCCCAGGGTGGTCCATCTTTCAGCGTCCTGATTGCAGGACGCCTCCTGAGATTATAAAACTTGCGAATGTTAATACTGAGAGTATCAACTCAACAACAACTGAACTAACTAACTCACTCACTCACTAACTAACTAACTAACTACTCAACTAACTAACTAACTAACTAACTAAATCAGCGTACACTTTCGACGGTCCGCGCGGATGTCGTGGATCTGCGTTGGGCTCCCCCTGGCCGCGCTTCTTGCGCCGCCCCTCGCGCGCTCCGTGCGCCGGGGGGGGGAAGGGCAGCGCAGCTCAACGAGATGCGCGCGGGCCGTCGACAGTTTCCGCTCCTGGCGTCCTTCCTTCCTCCGAGCACGCGTCCCGAGGATCCTCGGCCGCGCGAGGACGACCGCCGCGAGCCCGCGCCAGCGCCCCCCGAGGTCCTGACCCTGCTGCTGGCGCCATGCCGGCAGCTCCGCCGTCGGCCCCCCGCGGTGAGAAAAACAGTGCCGCCGGGGCCAAGGCTCAAGCAGCGGCGAAGCGTCCTGGCTCGCCCATGGCCCTACCAAACAGTGTTCTAAGAACCTTCTGTGGTTTCCACGAGATGCTCTTGAAACATTTCTGGCCGGGACTGCCCTGTTTTAACACAGTGGGAATCTGTTCTAAGGACGCTGTTTTTTGATATGAGAACATCTTTGCGTTCTGAGAACATTTCGTGGTAGGACTGCAGGCATGCCGGGACGGTCGGCCCCTGCTCAAAAGGCGGACACCGCGAGCAGAACAGGGTCTTGGAGGATTGGGCCGGGCGAAAGGGGGGGATTGGGAAAGGGGGGGTTACGAAATCTGCTGCATGCAGCTGGTTTCGGCCTCACCGAGGGGCCCATTCCTCGATACATGGCCGCCTCCGGCGCCGGGAGGCGCCGGGAAAATCAGCTACGGGAGCTGATTCTCAAACCCCCCCTTTGCTATCCCCCCCTTTCGCCCGACCCGAGAGGATCGAGGCTGCGAGGCTGGATATCCCCAGGACCGAGGGCCTGAGCCTCGAGGCTCGAGGCGGTGTGGCTTGGCCGGCCGCCACCCGTGGGGAGAGACTGGGGGCTGCGGGGGTCGACCGGCCTGCGAGGGCTGGGAGGGTGCGAGGATATCGAGGGCTCGGGAGCTTCGAGTGCCAAGGCTCTGGGGATGGCCTGTCCTCTACACCTTAGGCGATGCTTAAGAAAGCTTGAGTTTTCGACCAGAGTCTCGATTATTCTTAATGTTTCAATGTAAATCCCAAGATTTAAAAATAGAAATGCGGGGGTTTTATTCAAGTTCTGAGACTATGAATTTCTTAACCCATGATTTCTTAACCATCTCGCAGGGTGTAGGCCTCCTAGATGTGGTCTGAGCAGATGGGGTCGGAGGATTGCACCGCATCGCCCACGCATCGCTGACGCTGATCGGTGTGGAGCCCGATCTGCTTCAAGTCGACGTCGCTGATGCATCGCCGACGTCGACGGTGCATCGCCGGTGCATCGCCGATACATCGCCGATGCATGGCCGATGTATCGGCGATGCGGCGCGATCCTCCGACCCCATCTATTCCGACCCCATCTAGGAGGCCTCTATGTCCTCACTCCCCAGGGGTGGGGGGCTCCTCGTCACCATGGCCCGGCCCCGCCCCGGCATCCTGACCGGGACGCGCCCCGGAGGCAGGGCCCAGCTTTGGCGCGAGACGAGGCGGGGAGACAGAGGCTTGCGGTCACTGGCCCCTAATTAAGTGTCTCTAGTTTTGCCCCCCTTGTTTCTTTTCTCTTGGCGAGGAATGGAGCCCGTCCTCATCTTCCTCCCGCCCCTCCTCCTCCTCCTCCTTCTCCTCCTCCTCGTCCTCCTCCTTTTCCTCCTCCCTCCCTCCCTCTCCTCCTTCTCGTCCTCCCGCTCCTCAATCGTAGTCGTAGACGTCGTCGTCGTCGTCGTTGCCCGGCGGGTGCCGCGGAGGAATAATTATTTTCCGCTATTGGTGGGGCCCCTGTCCGTCAATAAGGTCGCCGAACATATTATCAGTTTCCAACTACGGGGGGGGATTCTCAAGATCCCACCACCCCAACCCAACCCGAAGGCAACACGCTGCCCTCCATTCCCAGTGCGGGGGCATCCCGGAACGCTGGGCAAGGACAAGGGGAACGGTATGCCCCGCCATCCCGGAACGCATCCCGGAACGGTATGCCCCCCAAACCCGAAGTTTGGGCTTGCGGGTTGGGTTGGGGTGGGGTGGTTTGTCAGGTGGTCACGCGGAAAGGCAGACGCCAGCGGTCAGCATCGTCTCACCAATCCCCACCCCCAGAGGGCCACAGCGTCTCAGCCCCGACACGCCACCGGCCCAGGCGGGGGCGCTCCTGCGAAATACGGGGCCGTCTTCGCCGACACTGGCGCGTGAGTTGCCCGCGTAAGGTCACGAGCAACCGCTTTCGTTTGCGATGCAGCGTGCCGCGTCGGCAGCCTGCGTAAGCCTCGTCGTAGGGTCGCAATGCCATCTCGCACAAGACCCGCATCTTCTCATCGCTAATTCATCCTTACCTGGAGGGTGAGTCGGCCAGTGGGGCCAATGCCATGCCAGTGGGGAGATGGGTCCGGAAGAAGAAACAACTGAGTTGCCATAAATGTTCGGAGGTCCGCGCGGATTCCTTGGATCGGCGCTGGTCCCTCCCTCCCGGCGGCGCTTCCAGCGCCGCCGCCCCGGACGCGCTCCGCGCGCCAGGCAGGAGCCCAATGCCGATCCAAGAGATCCGCGCTGGCGGATCGGTGCTCCAGAGCGAGGCGTGGCGAAGAGTCAGGACGATGATTACGAGCGGCGAGCGTATCCACATCCACGCCATTTCGGGGCGCTATCCCGCGGATGCGCGGTCGCACGGCGCCTTCTTGGGCGCCTCGGTTCGAGGGGGTAGGAAGAGGGGTCAAGCCACCCACAAGTCGAGTGCCTTCTCACTCTTTCCCACCCACCGTTCCAACACATCAGTAGCACCCGAGTCTCAGCATGGACAGGTGCCACCATGGACAACCATCGGGAACCAATGAAGACGCCAGCCAGGTGCGCCACATTGGGCCATGCGTCGACCTCCCCACCATCCGTCAAAAGCCAATGCGAAATGACGACGGGTTTGCGAGCATTGTCCAGTGTGCGCGTGCGCCCGCCATTCCTTT